GGAGGCTGAGGCAGGAGAATCGCTTGAAGCCAGGAGGTGGAGGTTGCAGTGAGCTGAGTTCAGGCTATTGCATTCCAGCCTGGGCAACAAGAGCAAAACTCCGTCTAAAAAAAAAAATCATTTAAAAAAATATAGGCCACGTGTGTTGGCTCATGCTTGTAATCCCAACACTTTGGGAGGCTGAAGCAAGCCAGTCACTTGAGTTTGAGACCAGCCTGGCCAACATGGCGAAACCCCATCTCTACTAAAAATACAAAAATTAGCTGGGTGTGGTAGTGCGCGCCTGTAATTCCAGCTACTAGGGAGGCTGAGGCATGAGAATCACTTGAACCCAGGAGGCAGAGGTTGCAATGAGCCAAGATCTTGCCACTGCACTCCAGCCAGGGTGATGGAGTGAGACTCTCAGAAAAAAATTAGGGCCAGGCGCAGGGGCTCAACACCTATAATCTCCGCACTTTGGCAGGACAGGTGGGTGGATTGCTTGAGCCCAGGAGTTTGAGATCAGCCTGGGCAACATGGCGAAACCCTGTCTCTACAAAAAAATACAGAAGTTAGCCAGGAGTGGTGGCACAAGCCTGTAGTCCTTGCTACTAGGGAGTCTGTAGTGAGAGGATCACTTGAGCCTGGGAGACCGAGGCCGCAGTGAGTCATGAGTGTGCCATTGCACCCCAGTCTGGGCCACCGAGCAAGACCCTGTCTCCAAAAAAAAAAAAAAAAAAAAAAAACTGGAAAAAGAATAAAAGTAGGCTATGTGTCATGGCTCATACCTGTAATCCCAATGCTTTGGGAAGCCGAGGCAGAATGATCGACCAGCCTGCCCAGCATAGGAGAACCTGTCTCTATTAAAAAAATTTAAAAATTAACCAGGCATGGTTGCCTGTGCCTGTAGTCCCAGCTACTCAGGAAACTGAGGCAGAAAGATCACTTACACCCAGGAGATCCAGGCAGCAGTGAGCTATGATTGTACCACTGCACCCCAGCCTGGGCGACAGTCCAGAAAAATAAATAAATAAAAATAAATAAATAACGCAGATCCACAAAACAATCAAGAAATAAGCTAGATACAACGTATGCCAAGAGGAAATAAAAACATTTTAAATTTAGATTTAATATGTAAATAATCTGAGATGTTTAGGTAGTGATTTTTTAAGTTTCTTTTTTTTTTTTTTTTTTTTGAGACGGAGTCTCGCTCTGTCGCCCAGGCTGGAGTGCAGTGGCACGATCTCGGCTTACTGCAACCTCCGCCTCCCAGGCTCAAGCGATTCTCTTGCCTCAGTCTCCCAAGTAGCTGGGACTATAGGCGTGCGTCACCATGCCTGGCTAATTTTTTGTGTTTTAGTGGAGATAGAGTTTCACCATGTTGCCCAGAGTGGTCTCAAACTCCTGAGCTCAGGCGATCCACCTGCCTCAGCCTTCCAAAGTGCTGGAATTACAGGCATGAGCCACATGCCCGGCCGAAAAAGCATTTTCTTAATACCACCCAAGGTAGTATTAATTATCCTAGAGATAGTGACTTTTGTCAACCATGAAAGTATAGGTAACATAAGTGCTAAAAGTTCATTAAAGTAACTTTTAAACCTACTTTAAATTATGGAGAAAATATAGATATTTTACTAGTATATTAAGTTGCTGAGATCTTAAATTCTTTTCCACAAAGTCATCCTGAAAACTGCTAGCATACCCCAATTCAAGAAATATATTAGATTTTTGTTTTCTTTTGATCCATGTAGAATTCAAGCAAGGGTAAATTGGCTAGTGGGTAGTGAATATGTGACTTGTGCCCCTAGCTATAATTGGAACCAGCAAAGTGTTCTATTCAGCAAGGGAGTAATGTTATTTCCATTTAGCTTAAAATCATTGACTACTTGTAGATTACCTGACTGTCTAATCAGTAGTCTCAAAAATTATAGTTTGGTGAAAGCTTTTTTTAAAAAAAGCTTTAGGAAACAAAAGTGCATTTGGTGGTATATGAAGATAACCTAAAACAGGATGTCTGTTTTATTTATGGGACTTTCTTTTATTCTTTGGTCTGAGATGATTTTTTTCTGAGTTGACTTTTTAGGTTCCACGTGTGCCAATGCATACACTTGCCATGGTTGTACCTCCCCAGGAACCTGACAGAACTTCACAGGAGAACTCTCCTGCCCTTTTAGGAGGGCAAAAAGGTTAGTTATTGAATTATTTTTCTTAAAAAGGGGATTTTTTCACCTAATCAATAAATGCAGAAATGTACCTTAATGGTACAGAGTTACTGTGTACCCATGGCTAATTGAGGTAGATAATTCTGACAAATGCAAATAGTCTTACTATCTAAAACCGAAAAGACATAAGTGTTAGGAAAAATGACTTCTTATTATTTTCCTGTTAACATACTGAAGATGTGGCTTTCATCTGGCACAGATGAAAATACTTAAGAAACAAGCCAAGTTCTTAATTATATTAAAGTAACCATAGTTTATCAGACATTCATTTTTCATTTGATAATTCTTTAGCTAACCAATAGTATATGAAGAATGAAAATGCATATTTGCTATCTAGTTAAGTTTTTGTAACATTGATTCAGTTAATGAGTGAGAAGTTTAAGAATTAACATTCAGTTGCATTTATGCAATGCTGAATATAGTAGATTATCTGTCACTATGTGAACCTGGACAAAAAAACTATCAAAATAAAATGTATACAAGTAATATCCAAATGACTATTAAGGAGGGTAAACTACTTAAAAAACTCAAGTTTATGAGCTCTGATATGTTTCTGCTGTCTTTATATTTGTAAATGAAAAGTACCTTCATGTATAAATGTACCTTCACTTGATAATTATGTATAGCTGTAATATCTGAGTTCCCTGAAATAAAGAAAATAGTTAATATGTAGGATGTTTAAAACTATATAAAAACAAACTTACGAACATAGTTCATTTAGTGTTTAATAATCAAGACCTAGATTTTGAAATCACAATGAGGTATATAAGTGTATATTAATATCTGTAACACTGATTTAAGAAAAGTTGGTTTGGGTTGACTGTTACAGCAACAGAAACTTCTTTCAAATTATGCCAATTTTAGTAATCTAAAATATTGGAGCCTTCTCCAGGGCTAAACTATTAATTTCAGAGATGAAATATCTGTAGTCTCTCTGACTTAAGCTAATTCTAACAGTTTTTCATGGAACACCTAACTATTCAAAATTTTCCTGCTGTTTTTAATCTTAACAATTAAAAAGCAAATTAAATATGCATCCATAAGTATCATAATCAGCTGATATTTAACCTTTAGTAAAATATTTAAGGCTAAATGCCTCTGTTTTTGGTTTTTTTTTTTTTTTCCTTTTTTTTTTCTGGTTTTTATTTGGCTAAACCTTACAGAGGAGTGTAGTAACTTTGGCTTTGGAAATTCAGTACTAAATAAGAATCACTGGCCAGGCATGGTGTCTCCCACCTGTAATCCCAGCACTTTGAGACGCTGAGGTGGATGGATCACCTGAGGTCAGGAGTTCAAGACCAGCCTGGCCAATATGGTGAAACCCCATCTCTACTAAAAATACGAAAACTTAGCCAGATGTGGTGGCAGGTGCCTGTAATCCCAGCTAGTCAGGAGGCTGAGGCAGGAGAATCGCTTGAAGCCAGGAGGTGGAGGTTGCAGTGAGCTGAGTTCAGGCTATTGCATTCCAGCCTGGGCAACAAGAGCAAAACTCCGTCTAAAAAAAAAAATCATTTAAAAAAATATAGGCCACGTGTGTTGGCTCATGCTTGTAATCCCAACACTTTGGGAGGCTGAAGCAAGCCAGTCACTTGAGTTTGAGACCAGCCTGGCCAACATGGCGAAACCCCATCTCTACTAAAAATACAAAAATTAGCTGGGTGTGGTAGTGCGCGCCTGTAATTCCAGCTACTAGGGAGGCTGAGGCATGAGAATCACTTGAACCCAGGAGGCAGAGGTTGCAATGAGCCAAGATCTTGCCACTGCACTCCAGCCAGGGTGATGGAGTGAGACTCTCAGAAAAAAATTAGGGCCAGGCGCAGGGGCTCAACACCTATAATCTCCGCACTTTGGCAGGACAGGTGGGTGGATTGCTTGAGCCCAGGAGTTTGAGATCAGCCTGGGCAACATGGCGAAACCCTGTCTCTACAAAAAAATACAGAAGTTAGCCAGGAGTGGTGGCACAAGCCTGTAGTCCTTGCTACTAGGGAGTCTGTAGTGAGAGGATCACTTGAGCCTGGGAGACCGAGGCCGCAGTGAGTCATGAGTGTGCCATTGCACCCCAGTCTGGGCCACCGAGCAAGACCCTGTCTCCAAAAAAAAAAAAAAAAAAAAAAAACTGGAAAAAGAATAAAAGTAGGCTATGTGTCATGGCTCATACCTGTAATCCCAATGCTTTGGGAAGCCGAGGCAGAATGATCGACCAGCCTGCCCAGCATAGGAGAACCTGTCTCTATTAAAAAAATTTAAAAATTAACCAGGCATGGTTGCCTGTGCCTGTAGTCCCAGCTACTCAGGAAACTGAGGCAGAAAGATCACTTACACCCAGGAGATCCAGGCAGCAGTGAGCTATGATTGTACCACTGCACCCCAGCCTGGGCGACAGTCCAGAAAAATAAATAAATAAAAATAAATAAATAACGCAGATCCACAAAACAATCAAGAAATAAGCTAGATACAACGTATGCCAAGAGGAAATAAAAACATTTTAAATTTAGATTTAATATGTAAATAATCTGAATTTTAGGTCAGTGATTTTTTAAGTTCTTTTTTTTTTTTTTTGAGACGGAGTCTCGCTCGCTGTCGCCCAGGCTGGAGTGCAGTGGCCGGATCTCAGGCTCACTGCAAGCTCCGCCTCCCGGGTTTACGCCATTCTCCTGCCTCAGCCTCCCGGGTAGCTGGGATACAGGCGCCCACCACCTCACCGGGCTAGTTTTTTGTATTTTTAGTAAGAGACGGGGTTTCACCGGTGTTAGCCCAGGATGGTCTCGATCTCCTGACCTCGTGATCCGCCCGTCTCGGCCTCCCAAAGTGCTGGGATTACAGGCTTGAGCCACCGCGCCCGGCCGATTTTTTAAGTTTATACTCTAGTGAGTAACCGTATTTTTGCTTACTGAAATATCTTGGACTATTTATTTATTTTCTGCATTTTGAAGTTTTCTTACTAAATAGGATAAACATGAGCTACCTTTCTAAGGAATCTTTCATTTTACTAAATTATTAGGGTTATCCCTAATTAACATTTGTATTTAGACACTTGGGCACTTGCTATTGCTATCAACCAAATGGCATTGGCAATCTAACATTTATGCGGGATCAAACTGCGATAATGCATTGTGTTAAAATGTCATGTTAGTATAAATCACACATATCATAGAATATTATGTTGCTATGAATTAGGAAGAATTAAAATTAAATTCCATTTAATTATGGAAAAGAACACACTGAATTACCAGGATAGGAAAACCTATCTTAAATAATTAAAGACATAACTTTTTTTTTTTCATACTTAAACCTCCTTTTTCTTCTTCAAGCTTCTCTTTTATGTCTCTGGAAGAGCTCCCTTGAGTGGTGAAATTGCTGTTTGACCCTTTTGTTTTTGTTTCCTCTAAGTCCATATATTACTTCTGTGTCGTGTATGTGATTAGGGATGGACAAAGGGTTCTTATTCTCTAGGACTCTCTTCTTCTCCTCTTCCAGCAATCATCTTTTCAGATTCTTATAACATTTTACTCCTGTCTGTTTTCAATAAATCTTTTTATTATTAATATCCTCATCCTTTTAAAAATGTATTAATGCCCATAAATCTTACCCAGGTGTTTGATATATGTTCTACTCAGATATTCTTTTCTTTTATGCCCCATGTGTACCAGTTGTACAGGCTCTGTCCATCTTGATTCATATCCTTCCGATTTAGGCAACTTGATCTCACTTGTCTGTTGTTGGTTTTCAAGGATTCAAGATTCTAGGTGGCATCTAACAGAGGCCTCAGAATCACGTCCATAAACAAAATATGAAACTCAGAGTAATGTGCTCAGTTTTCTAGCATTATTTATTACCTGCAGTTACAAACATTCAGATGGGAAAGGATACATAAGTAATGTAAATCCGTTGTGTTGTTATAACTGGTTCTACACAGGTTTTAAGAGAAGATTCATTTTGATCTTTTGCAAGTTGTGTAACTTAGAGTTAATCTGCTGCAGAGCATTTAAAGTTATGTCAGGATAAACAAAACACATCTTTTGTATATACCTCAAGCCCTCCTGAGGAGTAATTTCCTCTTCTCTGAACTTCTAGAGTACTTCATTGGATCTTTCTTCCAGTTCTTGTCACTTTTGCTTCCTCCCCTCCACTTGGGACCTCAAGTGTAGAGGGTTGAGTTAATCATACTCAATTTCTGGTGCTTTATCACCATAACTTCTACGTTTCATTTATTCCCTTTTATTTCTCTTTCCATTCCCCTGCTTCCCCCATAGATAATCATTTCAGTATTTGATGTGTATATTCTTTTGTTCTTATAAAATCTTATAAAATATTTATTATATATGTGTGTGTGTGTGTGTGTGTGTATATATATATATATATTTTTTTTTTTTTTTTTGAGACAGTGTCTCACTTTGTCACCCAGGCTGGAGTACAGTGGCGCAGTCTCAGCTCACTGCAGCCCCAACCTCCGAGGTTTAAGCAATCCTCCTGCCTCAGCCCTGCAAGTAGCTGGGACTACAGGCGCCCTGCCACTACACTTGGCTAATTTTTTGTGTTTTTGGTAGAGATGGGGTTTTGCCATGTTGCCCAGGCTGGTCTTGAAGTCCTGAGCTCAAGCGATCTGCCTGCCTCGGCCTCCCAAAGTGCTAGGATTACAGGTGTGAGTCACCCACCACACCTGGTGATTACCTTGTATTTTTAATTTACATAAATTGTATTGTGCTACAGATTCCATTTTGTTTTTTCCCTTTGTTTACTCAATACTGTTTTTAAGATTTATCCACCTGTCTCTAGATTGTGTCTACCTGTAGCATAGTGCTTCACACCCTGTATATCCTCCATGCTTTTACTTGTCCTTTCTCCCAGTGACAAATATCCCGATTGCCTCTATTTTCTCACCCCCACTAACAATGCTTTGATGAAAATATTTGTACAGTCCCTTTATGGATCTACATAAGAATTTCTTTGGAGCATCATCTCCCCACTTAGACTGTAAGCTCCTTAAGGGCAGGGTTTATGTTGCTCATCTTTATATGATCTACCATGCCTTGCTTGTATTAGATGTTTAAGTACTTATTGAATAAATTAATGAGTGCTAGGCTAAGAATATAGATTATTTTGAAGGCAGAAGAAAATTCTTAAGCATTTTTAAGAAAGACATTGTGATTAAAGAGATGTTTTTAAAAAGTAATCAAGAAGTAGCATTCTAGAATGGTGGGAAAGAGATTGAAAACAGAAGTGTAAATGTAAAGTAAGAAATTAGCATGCTGCTTTTATATGTTAGAGTTGCTTTTTGGAGTAAGTGACATGAAAAGTTCTCACATTTTTATATCAAATCATTAAAATTATATAGAAAAATTGTATATACAGTGAATGGTATTGAGTATTCCTCTGGAAACTTGACTGCTAATATTCTTTAGTCACTTTCCATTATGTAATCATTCTTATGTGGATTTACACATGCCCAAATTTGATAATATCTTTTAACATATAACTACTTGTAGTAATAGGAAGAAGACTGAATTAATCTGTTAACATGTAACACAGATGTTTATTTGGACACAGTTAAGTGATTGCTATGTTAAAGATGTATAATGTGTCCTGTTAGTGTGGGAAATTTTCAGATGAATATTTAGACATAAAGGAAAAATAAGTCAGTTCTAGGTTAGTGGCTTTCATTTTTGACTATGACCACAGTAAGAAACATTTTATATTGAAGCCCAGGACACATCATACATCTGTTTATCAAAAGAGAAATTCCAGTGGATAATAAACACTCTACTACATTTGATGCACTGTGTTATTTTTAGTTATACTTTCTCAACCTGATTTTCTATTTGAGACCCAGTTGGGAATGCTGTTTAAAAATCATTCTAGTAGGGTACTGTGTGATAATGTAAGCAAGGGAATTGCAGAACAAGGTTTAAATTTTATAGACAAAACCAAGTAAGGAAATATGAAATCTAGTCTAGATCCTTCTGTGTATCATGTTTTTTTCCCATTGACCATTATTTTTCCATTGTACAATGCACTAATTATTTTAGATACAAAAATGATTGATAGGATTAAGCTCAATCCAATAAAAAACAAAATATTTGGCTAACATATGTCCACCTCATTCCTTCAGGCCAATAAAAAAATAAAGGCCATATTTAAGCTGTCACTAGATCATGGCTTCTACTACAGACTTTTTCTAGTTTTGTTAATGGAGGGAAAGTGAGAGGCAAAGGAATAGGATAGAAACCAAACCAAAAAGATGAAATGGCGACTTTACCTATATTTCTTTCTTTCTTTTTTTCTTTTTTTTTTTTTTTTTGAGACGGAGTTTCGCTCTTGTTGCCCAGGCTGGAGTGCATTGGCACAATCTCAGCTCACTGCAACTTCTGCCTCCCGGGTTCAAGCAGTTCTCTTGCTTCAGCCTCCTGAGTAACTGGGATTACAAGCATGCACCACCACACCGGGCTAACTAATTTTACATTTTTTAGAAGAGACGGGGTTCTTCCATGTTGGTCAGGCTGGTCTAGAACTCCTGACGTCAGGTGATCCACCCATCTCGGCCTCCCAAAGTGCTGGGATTATAGGCGTGAGCCACCGCACCCGGCCACCTATATTTCTAAATAGTACTTTATGATATCATTCACTGATACCAGTGAATAGATTTCTTTGTATCTGACACTGTAAGCTGTTTGAAGGAGATAGAACCCTTTTATTTTCTGGTATCTTATAATACTAATTATTACCTATTGAAAATTTTGTTGCTAAAAGAATACTTGTCATAATCTCTACCCAGAAAGTGTAGATGTTGCTTTAGCTTCTAGGACTAACATTATCTGTTTTTCACCAATCTGTTTTATTCTTGATGTTAGAGCTTGTGTTAGTGCTTTGACGTGTATCTAGGCAATTCCACTAACTCCATGGCTATTTTGAGATGAACCACTTTTTATGCATCATTTTTGCCATCTTCCATTTTTAATGCTACATATGTTCTGGGCTTATAGTTTGTATATTAAGTTAAATAAGTTACTCTTAGTAATCTTGTGTTCCACGCTTCTTGCATATTATTTGTTAACAAGATAGACAGGGCCATTCCTATCTGTTACTTCCTCAAAATTCTACTCTTACTTTGGATTATACTATTTATAAAGATTTTAAATATGTGAATGTCCAGTGGGGTCATAACATAATTACTAACCAGTCTGGTTAGTGTTGAACTCTTAGCTAGTTTTCCTAAATCTTAAATACAAATTACTTAGTAACTATACAAGGGTGTTTTGAAACTAATGGATGTTTAAAGGACCATTCAGTCTTTGTAGAACTTCTAAATGTACTCGAGTGATGTCATTGAATTTATCACATGACTGAATATTTCCTTGTTATTGTTGTGGATTTGTACATTGCTATTTGTGACCATTTACCTTCCTTTTCTTGTTGATTGTCATTAGGCACTTTAAACAAATGCCATAAATCAAAACAGGGACTCCTATGTGGTCTTAGGAAAGTAATAATAAAATTAACTCACAAATCTAATGGCTTTTACTCTGAAAGAACAAAGTCTTTTTCCATCATTTTGCTCAGATAGAAATATAAATTGAGGAAGGCTGAGGCTGGAGAATTACTTGAGATCAGGAGTTAAAGACCAGGCTGAGCAACATAGCAAGACCCCATCTCTTAAAACTATATATATATATATATAAATTGAATATAGACAATGTACTTTGCAATTTAAGGAATAACTAAGCCTCTGGAAGTGATTGCAGTGATATTGAAATTGTGGTCATCTTACCTTATTAAAGACAGTATGTAGGGGAAAAACTTAGACTTTTTTAGTGATGACACATGTTGCATATGTTTGAGCTACCTGCAGTTTTGAGATCTCTATTCTAGCAAAAAAGTAGATGAATCTCTAATTTTTTTTTCTTTAGTAGTTTTGTCACCCCTTTGAAATTCAGAACACTTTTTGTCTCTGACCTTTTTTCCTTTGGACTTGAGAATCATTTTTAATACAATGGATGATTTTATTTTAAAAATTCCCAAATTACCTATGTTATTCATATATGTTGACTGCAATTCAAAATAATAGATAACTTCTTTACCCGGCTTTTTTTTCAAACAGCTTTATTGTTTAATTTACATACCATAAAGCTCCCTTGTTTTAAATGTGCAATACAATGAATTTTAGTAAATTTACTGAGCTGTGTAACCATCATCACTATCTAGTTTTAGACCATTTCCATCTCCCCAAAAAGATCTCTTATACTTGTTTTCAACTGATCCTCATATTCACTGCTATAACCTCAGGGAGCCACTACTGTCCCTGTCTCTATAGATTTGCCTTGTCTCTGTAGATTTGATATGAGTAGAATTACACCACGTGTGGTCTTTTGATATGAGTGGAATTACACCATGTGTGGTCTTTTGTGTCTAGCTTCTTTCACTTAGTATAATGTTTTTGAGGTTCACTCATGTTGTAGCATGAATCAGTAGTTTGTTCCTTTTTGTTGCTGAATAGTCCTACTTCTTTTTTTTTTTTTTTTTTTTTTTGAGATGGTCTCGCTCTGTTGCCCAGGTGTGATCTTGGCTCACTGCAAGCTCCGCCTCCTGGGTTCACACCATTTTCCTGCCTCAGCTTCCTGAGTAGCTGGGAGTACAGGCACCCGCCACCATGCCTTTTTTTGTATTTTTAGTAGAGACGGGGTTTCACCATGTTAGCCAGGATGGTCTCGATCTCCTGACCTCGTGATCCGCCTGCCTTTGCCTCCCAAAGTGCTAGGATTACAGGCGTGAGCCACTGTGCCCAGCCTAGTCCTACTTCTTCTAAATAAGATTAAGACTTAGATTTGCCTCAGAGTAGGTATTGTATGTCAAAAAATTTATGTCCTTCATTTCATGTCCAGATGTTAGGATTATTAATATTGATAATTATTTTTCAGCTGATTTGTTATAAAGGAAGTAACTTAAGTGTAATTTGAAACCTTAAAATAATATACATTGCCATTGTTTGTTAACATATACTGTCAGTATGAGTAACCCTAAATGGAAAGTGTGATTTTCTCCTAGGATCACTTATTGTTTCTCTCATAGACAGAATTTACTTGAAGGTTCATTTAAATGCAAGTTGTCCATTGTGTAGTAAGTTTAACAGTGTTCCGGTACAGATGTGTTAAAGGTATATTTAATGGAGAATTTTAGAAAGACATGTCTTGAAAAAACTGATTCACATATTTCAATATAAGAAGAAAAATATTTTGACTGAAAAACACTTTCCCCTACTTTGATCTGTAAGTTTTGGTCTTTTGCGTTAACTCTGCATTGCTCGCAGAGTTAATATTGCTAAAAGAATGATTGTTCTAAATGGGCAGTTAACATTTCTGGTATTTTCAGCGCTATTTTGATACTGCTTTAGATTTGGTGTTCTTTAAAAAGTCCAATCTAATCAGCAGAATTTTGAGATTCTCGCCTCTTTGTTTTCCTTTTCCCTGCCCCTGACTTAATTTCCAAAATCCTCCTGTCCTAAAGAGTAGATTTTTAAAACTTCACAGTTTTTGAATTAGCAACATCCTAGTTTGTGCTGCGTGAAGTAGACGAGTATAGGCTTTAACCTGCCTAACACTGGTGTGACTCTGGTGTGACTCTGAACATTCATTCTATAACATTAGTTATAAGGGTTTTGGGAGGGAGGTCCGTGTGTGTGGGAGGGGAGGCTGGTTTTCTTTTCTTTTCTTTTCTTTTTTTTTCTTTTTTTTTTTTTTCTTTTTTTTTTTTTTTTTTTTTTTAGCATGGCACTTTTTCAAACATTTTTCATGTGCTTAGGTACATCCAAGCAGAAGTCCAGTTCCCTCCAGGTAGCAGATCAGGACCTACTGCCATCTTTTCACCCATACCAGCCTTTGGAGTGCATAGTTGAGGAGACTGAAGGCAAGCTGAATGAACTGGGACAAAGAATTAGTGCTATTGAAAAAGCACAGCTTAAGTCACTGGAGTTAATTCAAGGTGAACCTCTGAACAAAGATAAGATAGAAGAACTTAAAAAGAACAGAGAAGAGCAAGTCCAGAAGAAGAAGAAAATATTGAAAGAACTGCAGAAAGTGGAAAGGCAGTTGCAGATGAAAACACAGCAGCAATTTACCAAAGAATACTTGGAAACCAAAGGTCAGAAAGACACAGTGTCTCTACACCAGCAGTGCTCTCATAGAGGAGTCTTCCCGGAAGGGGAAGGAGATGGTAGTCTCCCAGAGGATCACTTTTCAGAGTTACCTCAGGTTGACACAATCTTATTTAAAGATAATGATGTTGATGATGAGCAACAGTCTCCACCATCGGCAGAACAGATTGATTTTGTCCCAGTCCAGCCTTTATCATCTCCACAGTGTAACTTTTCCAGTGACTTAGGTTCTAATGGGACAAATTCTCTTGAACTTCAGAAAGTATCAGGTAATCAGCAGATAGTAGGACAGCCTCAGATTGCTATTACTGGACATGATCAGGGGCTGTTAGTTCAAGAACCAGATGGACTAATGGTTGCAACTCCAGCTCAGACGCTTACCGACACACTTGATGACCTGATAGCAGGTGGGTTAAGAAATATATCTGTAATAATTTCTCTTTAATCTGTGTGCTCAACTTCTTTATATACCCCTCCAAAAACATAGACTTTGTACTTTTCCATTTTAGAACTATCTTTGTAAAATTACCCATTTCTTGAGGTCTTTTGGAAGTGAATTAACTAAGCCCAATAGCACTAACACACAAAAGTGTGTTTCCCCCTCTTCTTTTTTGTCATATTGCAAAGGCAAAGAAATAAAGTTGCCACAATCCTTTATTTTAAACCTTTGGTATCAAAACCACCGTGTGTTGTGACTTGGGTAGGGGATCTCAAAGTGGAATTTCTTTGTAGGCTTTAGAATTATTCATATAAGATTATACTTAAAATTTTCCTGCTGGTGATTTTCATGTTTGGAAATTTTAAATCACACTGCTTTTTTAATTTATAATTTTATGAGATCAACTTAAGTATTTCCAATTAAATGGGATTTTCAGAGAAAACTAAGTATTCCATATTATAATATTTGTGGTAAGAAGATTAAGGTGCATTAAAATTATTGTGACTTGATGATTTGAAGATTGGAATTTTTGCATTAACTTTCTTAATGAAAGCACACAGCCACACCACCCACCCACCCACACACACACACACACACACACACACACAGAAAAAAAGGCCTGATAACCTTGAAGTATATGTTTCTGTTTATTGTTGTGTGGAAAATTACAACTAGATATGAAATGAGGTGCACAAGTTTACTTTCCCTTTCATTGTCCTTGCAGCAGTGGGAAAACAGTGCAATTAATCATTTACCTTCCTAAAGATGGCTGGTGAATGTATCACCTCCATGAGAGCCCAGTTCAGAAATGCAGCCAGAATGGCTGTTGACAGTGGATGAAGACCAAGAACTAAGATGTAGCTGGAGTGATATTCAAAGGCAGGCCAGTCCTCTGTCTCTTGATTGCAACATTTTTTTCCTTACTGTTGTCTGTTGCCTCTTGTCATATTCTCCTCCCCTTCTCCCATCCCAATTATGCTATCTCAGTTTCCTTTCTTCTTTTGTGAGCCTTTAGTCTTCCTGATCTTTACTGAATCTTTTTAAATGTGGAATAAGATTACTGAAATCAGGAATTTTATTGGGCATGTGTATGACTTCCAATGGTTATAGAATTGTCATATTGCCTTCGAGGCTCCTCTGATCTGTATATAGGTATCATTGTGCAGAGGAGGAATGCCTTAGTTTTCTTAAAGAAAATTAAAATTCTGGGAAATATTTTAAGGAGTTAGGCTCTTTGTTCTTTAATTTGGGTTTTTATGTCTTCAGTTGGTAGGCACAAATTAATTTTGTATTATTGGCATTGAAAGTTGTTATAAATTATGAATAAATTATTGTAGTTCATTTGGAATTCTAATTTATAATCTGGGTAAAAACAGATTTTAGAATGTGAAGTATGATTATGAATAATAATGATGAAACTGGTGAACTGGGAATAACATTTTTAAGATGTAGGGTTCTGTAACTAGCATTATAATGTTCCTAATTAAGTGCATAGTTTGCAGTTATGAAATCTGTGTTACTGATCAGTTCAGTTATGTTAGAACTTTTTTTTTTTTTTTAAAGAATGTAGAAACAGCTCTAAAAGGAACTTGTAGGTGTTAAGGGACATCAAATTTTATTTCACTGAAGTATTTGTTAAATTAGTCTTTTACAAAGTTTGCATGAAACTTAGAAAATTGGCTTAGAAATTATCTTTTAATATATAATTTTATTTGTTTAATGTAAAATAAAATTTAATTTGTGTTAGGCATTAATACCTACCACATTGTACAATATTCTTTTATTAGTAAGTTTTAACTTTTAAATCAGCCAACAAGTACAAAAATTATCTTCATGTAAAAATTTCCATTTTTATGAAGGTTATGTGTTTTGAACTATATGGCAGTAATTATATTTTCTTTATTCAAGATGATGTACCCATCTTAAATTTAAATATTATATTTTCCTAAGTCAAAGTTTGTCTTAATTTTCTTATGTTGAAGGTAAAATAAATAAGGCAAGGGTGAATTAGGTTAATACTTAATTCTGCAATGTAAAATATATTAACATATTGGTAAGATTATAGAGTAGGACAAAGATATAATTAATTTTACTTAACTCTAGTTCTTACCCCTCATATTAGTAAAGGAGAGAATACTGTACATCTTAAAATTCTACTTTAGAATTTTACTTTAGAAGTAAATTTTACTTTAGAAGAATTTTAGATGTATGATAACAAAACATTTTACTTTTTAAATATAGTATTATTTGCTTATTGCTATTCTTTCAAAGTATTTGTTGTGATAAGTTGTTTATATAATTTGTTAATGTTGCAACTTGATTAGCTGATTAACTTAGCCCTTTAGTGTGTTGTTTGATATGTGTCATACATGATATAGTTCCAAACAGACTATATAAACTCTTGATTAGGAACATGGTTCCTCAAGTCCTTCTGAAAGTGAGCATTGGGTTTTTAGCAGTTACCATAATAGCAAGTCGTTCTCAAAGTTCAAATGTCTAGGAATATAAAGTAATTTAAAGAAATTCAAAATAGCTTTTACCATTGAGCAGCTCTAGAAATATTTAGTCAAATTTTCTTTTTTTTTTGAGAGAGAGAATCTCACTCAGTCGTCCAGGCTGGAGTGCAGTGGCTTGATCTCGGCTCACTGCAACTTCCACCTCCCAGGTTCAAGCGATTCTCCTGCCTCAGCCTTCTGAGTAACTGGGATTACAGGCACCTGCCACCACACCCAGCTAATTTTTGTATTTTTAGTAGAGATGGGGTTTCACCATGTTGACCAGGCTGCTCTTGAACTCCTGACCTCAAGTGATCCACCTGCATCGGCCTCTCAAAGTGTTGGTTTTACAGGCGTGAGCCACTGCGCCTGACCAAAATTTTCAATTCAACGAAGATTGGTGAGAAATCAACTAATATCAATTTATTTACATTTATTGAGCTTTTACCATGCACCAACTTCTATAATAAATGGTAAATATACTTTATCTCATGGGCTAATTATAATTATACTTTAAATAAGTCCTTTTCCCACCTCTATTTTTCTGTTGAAAAACAAACTGTCCGGGAGCTGTGGCTCACGCCTGTAATCCCAGCACTTTGGCAGGTAGAGGCGGGCGGCGGATCACTTGAAATCAGAGTTCGAGACCAGACTGGCCAACATGGTCAAACCCATCTCTACTAAAGTACAAAAATTAGCCGGGCATGGTGGTGCATGCCTGTAATCCCAGCTACTCGGGAGGCTGAGGCAGGAGAATTGCTTGAACCCAGCAGGCGGAGTTTGCAGTCAGCCAAGATCACACCACTGCACTCCAGCATAGGCAACAGAGTGAGACTCTGTCTCAAAAAAAAAAAAAAAAAAACTGAAGCTTAGGGAAATTAAGTTGCTAGTAAGTACCAAGATTCAAACTCAGTTCAGCCAAGTTTAAGAACCTTAGATGTAATATGCATGCATATGTGTCAACTTAAAGTTCTGATTTATCTTTAAGTATTGTTATTTCCTTAGACTTTGAAATTCTATTAATCATTTCCCTTATTTTTATATTAAGATTTGATGTACATGTAAGTTTTAATACAGTTTTTGGCTTTTTACTATGTTGTTACTATCATTGGCATCTTAATAGGCTCTTAAATTGTTAAAGTATCTTTAAATAACTGTAGTAGTGAATATAGGTTTAAGAATTAAAGAGTAATTAAGAAATCCTCTTAAGGAGATTTGCAATAAAATCTTTAAATAGGCCGGGTGCGGTGGCTCACGCCTGTAATCCCAGCACTTTGGGAGGCCAAGGCGGGCAGATCACAAGGTCAGGAGATCGAGACCACGGTGAAACCCCGTCTCTACTAAAAATACAAAAAATTAGCCGGGCGAGGTGGCGGGCGCCTGTAGTCCCAGCTACTCCGGAGGCTGAGACAGGAGAATGGCGTGAACTCCGGAGGCGGAACTTGCAGTGAGCCAAGATCACGCCAGTGCACTCCAGCCTGGGGGACAGAGCGAGACTCTGTCTCAAAAATAAAAATAAAAATAAATAAATAAAATAAAATCTTTAAATATTTTTTTCTGATTAACCTTAATATTTTATAGAGTTTTTTGTTTGTTTGTTTGAGACTGAGTCTCACGCTGTCACACATCTCGGCTCGCTGCAACCTCTGCCTCCCAGGTTCAAGCGATTCTCCTTGCCTCAGCCTCCCAAGTAGCTGGGATTACAGGTGCCCACCACCACACCCAGCTAATTTTTTTGTATTTTTAGTAGAGACGGGGTTTCACTATGTTAGCCAGGCTGATCTCGAACTCCTGATCTTGTGATCTGCCTGCCTTGGCCTCCCAAAATGCTGGGATTACAGGCGTGAGCCACCACACCCGGCCATAGGTTTTTATTTACATAGAACTATTTAATAAAGTTACCAATACATAAAACAGATTATAGCAATTAAATTTCTTAAAAACTAACAACAGCCGGGCACTGTGGCTCACACCTTTAATCTAACCAGCACTTTGGGAGGCCAAGGCAAGCAGATCATGAGGTTAGGAGATCGAGACCATCCTGGCTAACACAGTGGAACCTCATCTCTACTAAAAATACAAAAAAATTAGCCGGGCATGGTGGCACGTGTCTTTGGAGGCAGAGGTTGCAGTGAGCTGAGATCGTGCCACTGCACTCCAGCCTGGGCGACAGAGCGAGACTTCATCTCAAAAAAAAACTCACAACATATTTTATGTACACCTAGTATCAGTGAGATTTTTAAATAATATTTATTGTCTTCCATATTGCCTACAAAACTTTCTTCAACTTCATAAAAAGTCCGGTAGAATATTGTATTTACTTCTTCTCTCACCTCATTTTAAAATAGTGGATAAATAGTCAGACACAGTGACTCTGCGCCTGTAATCCTTGCTACTTGGGAGGCTAAGGTGGGAGGATTGCATGAGGCCAAGAGTTCAAGACCAGCCTGAGCAACACATAGAGACCCTATCTCTTTAAAAAAAAAAAAAAAGCATGCCGTATAAGTTTAATTTGAATTATATATATAGACGTTTGTGGTAGCAGTCTGTCGTGGTCACTTTCAGAGATACTTCATTCAGAGGTAGGAAATATTTTAGAATTTATGAAAATGTCATATTCTTGGTGTAATTTTCTCTTAATACAACCTTTATTCCACATGCACTTTTTAAATCTCTTGCTATTTTCTAGTTTTATAACTTTTCATTTGTGATTAGTCCTATTAAAGGCACTTGCTATGGAATGTTTCTGACTGTCATTATTACATGGAGTGAAAAAATGCTTCTAGGATAATGTAGTACAAAAATGTATAGTAATTATTGTAACAACACATTTTTGTTAACAAAGCTGTTAAATGCACAAAAGTACTTTTTAAAAGCCAACTCTGTGAAGAAGTTTCTTATAACATCACATTCTGGCATGGCACTCTAATCAACTATTCAAGAAAATTTTTATATACCTGTTTTTCATAATAAAAAAGAGAGATGAGATAACATAAATAAAATACTGATAGAAAAGTAGTTCTTTACTAAAGTATATGTTAATAATTGTGGGACCACTGTTGAAGTCTTACTGTTAGAATGGTTCTGTAACATATTAATCTTCAGTGTCTTGTTTTTTCAAGCAGTTTTCCAAACATATCAGCTATTTCCAGGAGGTGTAACAAAATAGTATCTGTTTTTAACTCATTGAATGACAACAATTTTCCATTATTACTATTATTTTTTCTTGACCACTTCTTCCAGGAAAAAAATGACAAAAAATTTTAAGGCTTTGTTTCCATTTTACATATTCTTATAAGTGAAACAAACATATGTAATAATTCTTCCTATTTGTAACTAAATAGTTATCTATGTGATGACAGAAGCTGGAGAAATTTGTATTGCCAAGATCGTTATATATGTTGGTGGGGATGAGCTGGGTAGCTCATGTAGAAACATATCTGGGCATCTTAAACTTTGCTCACTTATTTAAACTAGTAATCTGCTAAACTGAGTCATTCACACCTGTGAATAGTATCTTTGAATGGGATCTAGTCATATCAAAAATTCTAGACAGAAAATATTTTCCAACACTTAAAATGCTTACATTTTTCTTTAAGTCTTGTGTGTTTTTGACTGACTTTTAATCTGGGTGCAAATGTAAGGTTATTGCCATCACTGATGCTTTGTTGATTTTTTTGTATATTATTACTGATTATATGTTTTTTTCTGAGTTTTTCCTTTCTTGAGTGAATAGTAATGTTTTTATTTTTCAATACAATGAATAATAGTATTGACAATTCTATAAAATATCTGATAGTTACATCTATTGATCACACACCATTTGCCAAAAACACTGTGTTAAATGCTTTATATACAGTATCTCTTAGACTACTCACAACATCCCTGAGATAGGTCCTGTTTCCCTCTGTGGTCAAACTCCATCTCTTATGAAACATAAGAAATATTCAGAGATATAAAATACATAATTTCTTTTAACTCAGTTTTCTTTTCTTTTTTTTTTTTTTTTTGAGATGGAGTCTCTGTTGCCCAGGCTGGAGTGCAGTGGCGCGATCCTGGCTCACTGCAACCTCCACCTCCCTAGTTAAAGCGATTCTCCTGGCTCAGCCTCCCGAGTAGCTGGCGTTACAGGCGCGTTCCACCATGCCCAGCTAATTTTGTATTTTTAGTAGAGATGGGGTTTTGCCATGTTAGCCAGGCTGGTCCTGAACTCCCAACCCTCCTGACCTGAGGTGATGTGCCCACCTCAGCCTCCCAAAGTGCCAGGATTATAGGTGTGAGCCATCACGCCCAGCCTTAACTCAGTTTTCAAACCACATTTTGAGATCTCAAATAGAACTTCAATGTTCTTTTTAAAAATAGTTGGACTTTCAGATATTGATTTTTTAACACATTTTCAAAATAAATATTGAATTTTGAAAACACATACTCCCTGCTATTTATGTGAGAAATACTTGAACTTGTCTCCCTTCCCCTCCCCCCCCCTTTTTTTTAGATGGAGTCTAGCTCTGTCACCCAGGCTGGAGTGCAGTGGCATGATCTCAGCTCACTGCAGCCTCCACCTCCTGGGTTCAAGCAGTTCTTCTGCCTCAGCCTCCCAAGTAGCTGGGATTAGGGGCATGTAAACCACTACACCCGGCTAGCTTTTTGTTTTTTTAGTAGAGATGGGGTTTCACCATGTTGGCCAGGCTGGTCTCAAACTCCTGACCTCAGGTGATGCCCACCTTAGCCTCCCAAAGTGCTGGGATTACAGGCGTGGGCCATTACAGACACACCCCAGGCCCCTTTTTTTGAATTGTACACAGGATATTTTTATCTAATTGACTTTTACAAACTAAAATCTAGAATTCCTTTTATTTACTTTTATTTTTGGAAATTTTTTTTCCTCCCTATTGGCAATGTAAAAAACTACTATTTAATGTATATGCACTAAATATCAGGTGCTGTGTTAAGTATTTTATCTGCATTGCCTCACGTGGTCTTTCCAATAACCTTCCAAGGCAGGTACCATTATTATCCCCATTCTACATATAGGGAAAATTGAAGCTCAGAGAAGTTAAATTACTTGCCCAAGATCAGAAAGTCAGTGTTGGAACTAATATTTAAATGTAGGTCTGTTTGATTCCAAAGCTTGTGATTTTACTATTACTATATATTACTGCTATGGAAATTTCTGTTTTTGTGTTTTTCTGTGTGTAAATAACCTTACTCTTTTAAGTGGAATTTAGCAATATGAATATTGTTTTTCAGCTGTGAGTACCAGACTGCCCACTGGTTCCAACAGTTCTTCTCAGACCACAGAGTGTCTTACACCTGAATCCTGTTCACAGACTACAAGCAATGTGGCTTCCCAATCAATGCCTCCTGTGTATCCTTCAGTTGACATTGATGCACATGTGAGTAGATTGCTTTATTTAAACTTATACTGCACATTCTGATTTTCTTTGGAAAGGAAAATTATCATTCTACACTTATTGTGAAAGAAGTATTATTTGCTCTTAAATTGCTAACTTCTGTTAAAAAAATTTTAACTTATTTTTTTTCTTCTCCTAGACTGAGAGCAATCATGACACAGCATTAACACTAGCTTGTGCAGGTGGTCATGAAGAACTTGTATCTGTGCTCATTGCACGGGATGCCAAAATTGAACATAGAGACAAAAAAGGTAAATATCAGTCAGAAATAAAATCCAAGTGTAGTTACATCAGAAAATAATTTTTAACTTTTTTATTATTGATAAATAGTTCCTAGACTATCTCAGTGATAAGATGGATAAGCCTATTTCAATTAGAAATATCCAGATTCATTTTTCTGTAGAGCCAAATAATTCTCCAAAAATTCAAAAACTAGACTGTAGATCGTTAGTGAAATAGAGCAAGTTGTGGTTGCCCTTCTTAATCCAAAGGTAGTTCATACAGAGGCATCAAAGTTCATTATGAGTGTGAACTTTAATAATTTTTACTTAGTTTTTTAATTAGGTGTTTATGGGTTTTTTGGTCACTAACAAATAAGGGTTTAGAGCAGTTTTATGTTGAATTGTTATCAGTGTCTGCCCTGAAGGGTTTATTTTGCTAAAATGCTAGAGAATTGTAAACAGTGGCTTTAAAAAAATTTAAAAACATAAATTTGTTTTAAGATTTTCATTTTCTGATTTAGGTTTTACACCACTAATCCTGGCAGCAACAGCAGGGCATGTTGGAGTTGTTGAAATCCTTTTGGATAAAGGTGGAGATATAGAAGCACAGTCCGAACGAACTAAGGATACTCCACTCTCATTGGCATGTTCTGGTGGACGTCAGGAGGTATGTTAATGTTAATTTTCATTTTGTAAATATTTTGCTTGTATTTTAAAATATGCATATGATTCGTATTTTAGCTACATGAATAAAATTTGCATGTATTTTGTGTGTTTTTCTGAGGCAGGGTCTTGGTCTGTCTCCCAGGCTAGAGTGGTGGCGCAATTATAGCTTACTATAACGTTGAAATCTGGGGCTCAAGTAATCCTCAGCCACCCAAGTAGGTAGGGCTGTTTTATAGAGATGGGGTCATGTGTTGTTGCCCAGGCCAGTTTCAAACTCCTGGACTCAAGCAATCCTCTCTCCTCGGCCTCCCAAAGTACAGGGATTATAGTTATGGGCCAGAATGTCTGGCCCTGCACGTATTTTGACATGCTCCATATACTTTCTGAGGAATGGGTACTTCTCTTAAGTTTAATGGGAATGTAAATGCCCTTTTTTTGGTGGGGGGTTGTGGAGGGAACAGGAGGGTGGAGATGAGGTCTCATTATGTTGCCCAAGCTGGCCTTGAACTCCTGGCCTCAAGGGGTCCTCCTGCCTCGGCCTCCCAAAGTTCTGGGATTATAGGCAGGAGTCACCATGCCTGGCCATAAATCCCCTTTTAAAAAATCTGTTTCTTGCTGTTAAAGCCAAATAAAAATTATCTTAATCCTTACATTTATTCAAATTAAATGAATCACAATTATAACACATATGAAATGCAAATTTATTGCCCAATAAATGACAAATAGAAAGGGTAACATCTTGTTATTGCAGTATACTTGGGATTTCAAAGCTCTAAATTCCTGAAATTGAATCCATTTCTCTAGTGCTGATATTTCAATATTTAAGGTCTAATGAAATGTAATTAAAATATCAGATATTTATATATCTGATAAGTCCTGTTATAAGTCCTGTTTCTTTGTGTTTCCTTCGTTGTAAGTTGAGCCGTTGGTGTAAACTCTCTTCTCCATATTTTACTTTGTAGGTGGTAGACTTGCTGCTGGCTCGAGGTGCAAATAAAGAACATAGGAACGTATCTGATTATACACCACTGAGTCTAGCTGCGTCTGGAGGATATGTTAATATCATTAAGATTCTGCTTAATGCTGGGGCAGAAATTAATTCAAGGTATTACCTGTTCATTTTATTGTTCATGTTTAGTAGTTACTACTTTGGAGTTAAATGTCTACCTCTAAACATTTTGACAGATACCATTTTAAATTAAGATAGTACTAAAGTTGCAAAGCCAATTATTACAGCTATAATGTGTTTATAAATAATCTCAGCTTATTTCGGTAATGTGGCTGCTTATAAAGAGGTCTCATTTCAAAAAGTATTTTGTTCTGTGGCCTACCACCCTAAACATGCCCAATCTCATCTGATCTCAGAAATAGTATTTTATTATATATAGTTGGAAATTTATAATCCCTAAATAGGAATTACGTTTTATTTTTTAAGTTACTTATTTTTTGAGACAGAGTCTTGCTCTTGTTGCCCAGGCTGGAGTGCAATGGCGCGATCTCGGCTTACCGCAACCTCTGCCTCCTGGGTTCAAGCGATTCTTCTGCCTCAGCCTCCCAGGTAGCTGGGATTACAGGCATGCACCACCACGCCCAGCTAATTTTGTAGTTTTAGTAGAGATGGTGTTTCTCCATGTTGGTCAGGCTGATCTCAAACTCCCGACCTCAGGTGATCTGCCCGCCTTGGCCTCCCAAAGTGCTGGGATTACAGGCATGAGCCACCACGCCCAGCCAGAAATTATGTTTTAAATTGTGACATTTTCTTATTCTTTATTATTGGTCGAAACAAGTAAAATCTATTCATTGATGTTAGAAACCTCTCTTTTTAGTGAAACCTTTTCATTTTTAATGCTTTTCTAAAATAATAGGCAATATATTATTTTAATTTTCTAAGCACGTTTCCCCCCTTAGGACTGGGAGTAAACTAGGTATTTCTCCCCTGATGTTGGCTGCAATGAATGGACATGTTCCTGCAGTAAAATTGCTGCTTGATATGGGTTCAGACATTAATGCCCAGATAGAGACCAATCGGAACACGGCTCTCACCCTGGCCTGTTTCCAGGGCCGAGCAGAAGTAGTGAGTTTGCTTCTGGACCGAAAAGCCAATGTTGAACATAGGGCAAAGGTAAGCATTTTTTACTTGTCAACTGTTTCAGATACGTTTCTGTAGAAAGAACATGGCATTTTAACACAAATTGAATGTAATATTTTAAATTATCATAAATTAAAACTGATACCCCAATGCAGAATTGAGGGATTATGCTGTATAGTAGTGAGTGACATACTGTCACCATCATGACTTTTATTAAGGACAATGAAGAAAACAGAATTAGTACTTTTCCCAACCTCAGCCTTGAGTAGCTTTCTATTAATACTGCAGCTTACAACTTTTGAATGTAGTAAGATTATTTTGTATTAATTCTTATACTGTAGACTTTTAAAGAACTCTTTTCATGAGGCATGTGGTTATCATTGTAAAAATCCCAAGCAAAAATTTAGTTCATAAGTTAAAAATTTAGGGCAGCTAACATCTAATTTGACCATGGCAGATTTTGACAGTTTCATGACTATTTGGTATTAAGAAAATAGGAGTTAGTGGAGGCTGGGCGCGATGGCTCACGCCTGTAATTCCAGCACTTCAGGAGGCCGAGGCAGGTGAATCACATGAGGTCAGGAGTTCGAGACCAGCCTGGCCAACATGGTGAAACCCCGTCTCTACTAAAAATACAAAAAATGAGCTGGATGTGGTGGCGGGTGCCTTTAATCCCAGCTACTAAGGAGGCTGAGGCAGGACAATCACCTGAACTTGGGAGGTGGAGGTTGCACTGAGCAGAGATCACGCCATTGCACTCCAGCCTAGGCAACAAGAGAGAAACTCTGTCCCCCCCTGGCCCCCCAAAAAAAGAATAAAGGAGAAGAGTCATCAAATAATCTCCATAGATGCAGGAAACACACACAGAGAAAAGAAAATAGGAGTTAGTATGTCATTGGCTTTTATTTCTTTGCTTAGAACTGCAAGGTTCTTACAACTCTGGAAAGACATAGGTTGGGTAGAATTTTTAATAGTAAACAGCGAATCTAGTGCTCATTTCAAATTGGAAAGATTTGACTGGAAATCTTGTATTTTTTCCCTGAAATTCCTCTCACTTCTTAAAGTTTAGTGCAACATTTACATTCTTTTAATCTAAGTAATGAGGAAGTGTAGTTTTTCCATAGCTTTTTACTACACAAAGAGAAATGAGTCTTTCCTGTCATTCAGTTTGTCTTTTTCTATTACAAGTATTCATTGTGTGTCACTTATCCATTAAAAGTCTTAGAGAAATCTGTGTTATTTTGGATAGTACCAGTAGGAAATGTCCTTTGAAAAAATGTTGGAGACTAATGTGTACCAAAGGCACATATGCAAAAAATTTATAAAGTGATTTTAATCTCCTTATTTTTAATATCTCTATTCATTGTGCAGAGAAATTATCTGAGTAAATTCATAAAAGTATAGAAGTTACGGAATTTTTTTTTTAGCGTGACATAACATGTTTTAAGTTCATTCTAGCATGTCTGAGTAACAATTTTTACTGCTGTTTAGTAAAATTCAAGGCAGAGGCCGGGCGCGGTGGCTCAAGCCTGTAATCCCAGCACTTTGGGAGGCCGAGACGGGCGGATCACAAGGTCAGGAGATCGAGACCATCCTGGCTAACACGGCGAAACCCCGTCTCTACTAAAAACACAAAAAATTAGCCGGGCGAGGTGGCGGCGCCTGTGGTCCCAGCTACTCGGGAGGCTGAGGCAGGAGAATGGCCGGAACCCGGGAGGCGGAGCTTGCAGTGAGCTGAGATCTGGCCACTGCACTCCAGCCTGGGCGAAAAAAAAAAAAAAAAAAAAAAAAAAAATTCAAGGCAGAATATTGCTTAGCTCTTTTATGAGAGTTAATCAGAACTAGAATTGTTTTAAAAGTTAATTGCTTCAGTTTTTTAAAGAAATTATGTAGCTTAGTTTTGGTTCATGGAATAGTTTAAAAAAGAAATTATGTGACTTAATTGCATAATTTATTGGTTTAAACAGACTGGTCTTACCCCCTTGATGGAAGCAGCTTCTGGAGGGTATGCAGAGGTTGGAAGAGTTCTTCTTGATAAAGGAGCGGATGTTAATGCTCCCCCTGTGCCTTCCTCAAGAGATACTGCTTTAACAATAGCAGCAGACAAAGGTCACTACAAATTTTGTGAACTCCTGATTCATAGGTGAGTCTTTTCTATTATATGTAGAACTTTTTCAGAGCTTTTAAAGTTAATAACATTGTTTTACTTTATTGACATTGTTAAGAAAAGATTATTTGTAAGTTATTTTGTAAAAGAAGATGATAAAGAAAAACTAGAAAAAGCCAGCCTCTTCTTATAGGAAACAAACTGTATTAATACGCTTTTTTTTTATAGAGGAGCCCACATTGACGTTCGTAACAAAAAGGGAAATACACCACTTTGGCTGGCATCCAATGGAGGTCATTTTGATGTTGTGCAGTTGCTAGTGCAAGCAGGTGCTGATGTGGATGCAGCAGATAACCGGAAAATCACACCCCTTATGTCAGCATTTCGCAAGGTAATTTGATATGGGGGAAGAAAGATCAAATGTAATAATTTTAAGCCAATTCTAAGTTAAAAAATGTGTGAGAAAGGTAAGTTTATCTTGGAGAATTGAGTATATTTCCATAGAAAAGTCACTGCTATCATTCCGTTCATTTCTTTTTTTTTGAGACAGAGTTTCACTCTGTTACTTAGGCTAGAGTACAATGGCACAATTGCAGCTCACTGCAAACTCTGCCTCCCAGGTTCAAGCGATTCTCCTGCCTCAGCCTCCTGAGTAGCTGGGATTACAGGCGTGCGCCACCATGCCCAGCTAATTTTTGTATTTTTAGTAGAGACGGGGTGTCACCACATTGGTCAGGCTGGTCTCGAACTCCTGACTTTGTGATCTGCCCGCCTCGGCCTCCCAAAGTGCTGGGATTACAGGCTCCCGACCTTATCTTTCCATTCTTTTGTGGCCAAATCTAAGAGCTACGTGGTAGTTCGCTATAAGCAACTTGGTTGTTAAATCACTTGGTGTCTTGACTATTTGTGATATATTGTTCATAAAATAGAAGATTTAAGAAAAACTTTTATATGCAGATGGATTTTTTCTACCTAAAGAGGAACAAAAAGGAGTAGACTTTCATAAAAACTTACTGTATCTTCTGTGTGCTTGCGTGTGTGTGTATGTTTGTGTATGAAACAGGGTCTCAATCTATCAACCAGGCTGGAGTGCAGTGGCATGATCATAGCTCACTATAGCCTCATCCTCCCAGGCTTGAGTGATCCTCCCACCTCAGCCTCCTGAGTAGCTGGGAGGGACCACAGGTGTGCACTACCATGCTCAGATTTTTTTTTATTTTTATTTTTTGTAGAGACGAGGTCTTGCTATATTGCCCAGGCTGGTCTCAAACTCCTGGGCTCAAGCAATACTACCACCTCTGCCTCCCAAAGTGCTAAGATATGGGCATGAGCTATGCGTCTCATATATATTAAAGTTCATGGCCAGCCTCTCATATATATTAAAGTTCACTTATCTGCTGTTTTTTTTTTTTTTTTTTTTTTTTCCACACCAGAATGCCATAACAACACAGCCACTCAATGAGTACACAGAAAGAGGGCAAGATTAGACAACACACAGGTGAAAGAACAATCTCACACACTGACACAAGAGGTAAAACAACATGAACAACCAGAAAGAAACTCCAACAAAGTAGGATCAGTAAACAAATTAGAGTGAACCATAAAATATACAAGAGTAAAACCAACACACAGAAATCACAAGGCACACGCCAAGCTAGGTCTTCTATGAGAGAAAAAGTTTTGGGAAACCTTACTGGGTTGGGGATGGGTTCGGGAAGAGGGTTCCTATGGGAGTTTATGAGGAAAAGTCAGTTAAGATGAAGCAATTGGTGAGGAATCGGGAAAGATTGAGGAGGTGTTGACCTTAGAGAGAACACTGGCCACGCTGGAGAAAGGAAAGGGAATAGATGTTTTGGGAGTTAAGTTAAGAATGTCCCCTCATCCCAAGAGGGGGTGGGCAAAGAGGCATGATAGGAAAGAGGGGCCACAAGCATGCATAGTCCAGGCAGTAAAACTTACGTTGGGGCTGGCGAGGGTTAGATGGTTTACCGTCACCCCATACTACTGAGATCATGGATGGCTAGGCATAGGACCTCCATAGGTTGCGAAACAGAATAAATTGTAAAAAGCAATAGGTAGCAGTCCTATTGACGAGAAAAGAAAATTGGCTTACATGCCTACCTGTATAGTAACCAGTAGGGCCGCAAGCAAGAGGGTGACATCCCGCCGAATGGTGGGCACCCAGGAAAAGAGCAGGACGTCGTCACAGGTGTAGGAGACTGAGAAGAAGCCTTCTCCTGGCCTGTCCTGAGGAGAGGCACCATGTGAGCGCAATAGCCATGCCACCCTGCGGCAGGGGCCAATCAACTTCCAGTGTCCTTCCTGTTGGACAAGGTTGGGGCATGAGCGTGGGGTAAAGGGCAGGCGAATGGATTTGGACACCACTTTTTCCCAATGCCCCAGTTGTGCCCACACTAAAGCATGGGACGAGACAGAGTGGCCCGGCCTGCCCTGGGAAACTGGTTTCGCCTAGTGGCCCTGGTCTCCGCATTTGAAGCAATCTGATGTATTTTAAGCCCTTTCTATTGCCATAGCTCCCAAACTATAAACTACTATTAGGCCCTGTAAATACCTGCATAATAACTTCATGTCAACCATCCCCAGACAAACAATTTATGTCTTAGATCCCCTTTTGCCACACCTATGTTTTCTAGTTACCTGTGCAAGAATGGCACTTTTAATTTTTTTTTTT